CGTTCTCGAGTTATTCAAAAAATATTCGAGTCCACTGAATTTTTGGACAGACAATAGTATTAGTGTTCATAAGTTCAGATTTATAGTTCATTAGTGGTAAATAGACAGACACATTGACAATGATTCGTCATCAACTGACTTTAAAGACTCTGAATATGTGTATAGATGAACGATATCATCACTATCATTAATCACTTAAAGGTAACTAGACAATATAGAGTAATATGCTATCATAATACAAAAGAAGCAAACCTTTTGTTTCTTTAGAAGCAATTTCTGGATGAGATGTGAGGAGACATGAGGACAACTCATCATTCTCTATCCAACCATATGACTAGAGGTTAGTTTGTATGCGTGTGTGAATGGATTTTGGCTGGGTGTGGGTGGGTGTATCGTTTACGAATATCTCCCAGCTACCCCGTACTCCAGCAAAGCTAAGACAGAAAAAAATATGGGTGGGTGTGAAGACAACTCGGCATCCTCTATCCAACCATGTAATTAAAATTTAGTTTGGGGGTGGGTGTGGGTGGGAGCGTAGTTTACAAATACCCCATTGTCTGAGGCTCAATAGTTAATTTTTATAGGTAGAAAATTAGAAAATTTTGCGCTCTATCGATCTCACTCATTTACAATCTTTTACAATGTTTCCACTACGTCAGCTGATCTCATAATTAGTTCTCATCCGGCTTTTCAATTTTTTCAAATTAAATGAATTTTTTTAATTAATGGTTTCAATTGAGAAACTTTGTTTATATATCACAGGGCACAGAATTTAGTTCTATGTAAGATAATAAGACTAAAATCCTGGATTCAGAACGTTTTACTGTTTTTATAGTCCAAAAACTAAATTCTGTGAAAAATAGGTTCAAAAGTTAGGTTTTTCTAGATTAATCAGTTTTTTGCACAGAGAAATTTTCCTAGAAGATTTAACTGCAAAATTTCGAAGAATATGTGAGAAGATGCAGAATTTTCCGGTGAATCTTCTGATTTTTCAAAAATCTTATGGAATCTATTTCTGGATCAAGGCAAATGTTTTTTTATTCTTAGTGTGTCGCAGTTCGACAACTTAGCACTCTTCAATATTTTGAATGGTGCCCAAACGAGAAAACTGCTCTCAGAGATTCAAATAGTAGGTTTTGTAGAGCTTGAAATTCTCTATCTTTTGGTATGTAAAGAAACTTCTAATTTGAAGAAGAAGTGCGAAAAAGATGCAGTAACATTTAGTCCAGTTTATTATGGTACACCCGTTAAAGATCGTGTTCACCACAAACTAGTCCACTTCATAAGGAAAGTGAAGGACTTAGATCATAAAAAACAAACGAATTACAGGAATAATGTTGTTCTGAAGGTTTCTTCATCGACTGGAAGGAATGTTGTTACAAAGTAAACTGCGACGTCCGTCTGTCGGTCGGCATCACAATTAAACATCAGAGAATGAAGGTAGAGGACCGGATGATTCAAGTTTAGATGTCAAATGAACAAAAATAAGACCAGTAAGAGAACTAGATATGCACCGGGTCGAAATACCCGAAAATTAAAGTCTGTCATATCATCGGAAAAAAAATAAAATTTAGTTGGTTTAGATTTGCTGAAAAGTGGTTTTTCGTACTCAGCACACTCGATAACCCAGACGATTTTCTGTTTTTGGCCCGAGGTACTTCCGAAAGTTTAAGAAAAGTTTTCAAAAAAAGTTTCTTCAGTAGGTTTTATCTTTACATCAACACTAGCGTTATTAAAATTTCTTTTCAATTCAACCTATTCTTTATAAGAAAATAAAATATACATATAACAAAAATTCTCCATTCATAATCTCGTGCTCTTTCTTTCCTCTCTCCTTGTCATGCACATGGATTTTCAGCCTTTTTTGTGATGTGTGTGCCTAGATTAGAAAAACACTAGATAATATACAATCAGTTATTTGTTTTTAACTTTATGTAACATCCTGCATTGGTTTTAAAATTTTTATCTTGATACTAATTTTACTTTTTCCTGAAACCCCCCCCCTCACAAGACTGATTTTTTCACCACTGTGCCATCGATCCAATTGCAAAAGGCGTGAAAATTTTACACGTAATGATTTATTATTAACCAAGCTATAAATAAAACAATTTTCAAAATCTCGCTGTACAAAAAAATGAAAACTGGATGTAAAGCTGATTTCCCCCCCTGTCAACTCGTAATGAAAAGTGAGATAAATCGTAAGTGCAGATATGTGTCCTGATAGGTACCAATGCCTACTACAAATCTGCACCAAGGCGCTAACGCAATTAGCATCCCAACCCACAAGTATTGCATGGTGGTTGATAAGGAACAGGTTGAGGGAAGGGAATAGGAACCTGTTGAAGGTAGGGAATGGGAACCTGTTGAATGTAAGGAACTGGAACCTGTTGATAGTGGGTAACGGGAACTTGTTGAATGTAAGGAACTGGAACCTGTTGATAGTGGGTAACGGGAACTTGTTGAATGTAAGGAACTGGAACATGTTGAATTTGGGTAACGGGAACATGTTGAGTGTGAGGAACGGGTACATGTTGAATGTAGGGAACGGGAACCTGTTGAATAATAGGTGGCGATTGAATATAGCGAATCTGTTCAGGAACATGAGTTCGATATACGTGTCTTGTACTTGCACCCTTAATTTCTAATTTTCCTCTATATTCATAACCATGTGGTGGCCTTTGACGACCATCACGTTCAATAAAAATAAAATCTTGACCAAAATCAGTATTTTCAACATAGGAATGGTGTCGTCTAATTTTTGTATAATGGCCATGATGGTGTCGTCTTCCTGTTGAACGGTGATTATGACGAGGTTCGGTCTCAGTGATAGTTTTTGTAATATTAATACTTGATGTTGAACGCCGCACACCCGACCCTGGTGAATGCCGTACACCCGATCCTGGTGAACGTCGTGCACCCGATCCTGCTGAACCTGATCGCCTTTCGTAGCCTCTGGACACAGCACCTTGTGATGAATAACCCTCATACCCACCTTGATTTGAGTACGGTAAACCACTATTAACTTTCACACCTAAACAAATAAATTCATAGCTACAATTTATTTATTTGGAATATACAGACCTTCGCGATTTGGATGATGAAAGATTTTTCCCGAAACTTTGGTTCGTGGTTTATTATTATTAGCCACCGAGTGTGCGAGGTACGGTTCCATTATTTCTGTAATTTAATAGAATTAGTACAAGCTGGATGAACGATGAATGAATAATGATGCTAATGATCTACAAATAAATACAAAAAATTAACGTAAAAACAAAAAACATTGCTGTGAACCTCTAGCTACATAGGTTAGCTTCATTTCGAAATCAGTCCGAGCTCTTGGGCATCTTCGCGGACGGCGAATTTTGGGAAATATAAACAGCTCTTCAGGAGAAAAAGGATTTTGAGAAAAACACAAAGGAAGTTTTTAGTAGAAAAAATTACATTACTCCGTAGTAAGAAATTATTTAATGTTTTTTGTTGATACATTTCTAAAGCCGAGAACGTATTGTAGTTTCTATTATTTCTACAAAAAGAAGAGAAGAATGGTGTATGTCCTCATAATCGGCCTTGATTGTAAGGCCCATACAGTCATAGATACATAGAAAATATCTAAAAGTCAGAATCATATCTGGTTGAATGTATAGCCAATACAAGAAAATCTTTTCTTAGTAATATAAATATAGAAAAGCGAGGACGAAAAAGTAAGTAACTTATATTTACGATATACATCAATGCTTTCACTATTATTATTGTAACCACAAAAGAAATTAAAAGAAAAGCAACCTGAGCGTCCTTCATAGCCTATAGACACAGCACCTTCTGATGAATAACTCACATAATCACCGTGATTTAAGTGCATTAAACCACTTTTAACTTTTACATCTAAACAATCAAATTCATGGTGACAATTTATTTACATGAAATATACAGACCTTCACGATTTTCGTGATGAAAGATTTTTCCCGAAGCTTTAGTTCGTGATTTATTACTATCAGCCACCGAGTGTGCGAGGTACGGTTCCGTTATTTCTGCAATTTAATAGATTTGGTACAAAGTGGATGAACGATGAATGAATAATCATCATAGCCACATACGCTGGCTTCATTTCAAAACCAACCCGAGCCATCCAGCATGTTCTCGAAAGGCGAATTTTGAGAAATACGAATAGCTTTAGAGAAGAAAAACACAAAGAAGTTTTTAGTAGTAATAAATACATCGCTCCATCGTAAGGAATTACTTAATATTTTGCTGATACTATTGTAAAGCCGAGAAAGCATTGTAGTTTTTATTATTTTTAACTTATAAATAAAGCTAAATTAAATTTAAGAAATAATGGATGAAAGAATAATACTATCTACATGAATGTATAGTCGATACAACAAAACATATTCTTAACGATACGGTAAGTTAATGTAGAAAAAGCAAGGACGAAAAAGCAGGACAATAAAAGGAGAAAAAAGCTTTAATACTTTTTTTAAATTTCTTTTGTGAGTAATATTGAAAGCATTGATGTATATCGTAAATATCAGTTACTTACTTTTTTGTCCTTGCTTTTTCTACATTAACTTATCGTATCTTCAAGGATACCCTTTGCCGTATCGTCTATACGTTCAAATAGATATTATTCTGATTTTTAGATGTTTTCTTTTTACCTATCAGAGCTCCTAATCACGCCACTTTTTGATGGCCTGCCCGACCAGGGTCCTCACATAAATTTTGCTTATAGTTAATTCAACTTTACTATAGCAAAAACGCCGATGAGCATTGCTAAATTTTGGTTTAGCAGCATTTTTTTCTTACCTTGTGTGTCGAATGATCTGAATCTTTTAAATTTATTGAAAAGATAAGAAAACGAACAATGAAGTGGAAGGAAACACAATGACCTAAACGATACGAAGAAATGACTGCTACTGATCTAAAAAACAGTAATGCGCATAAAGATATATATATTTAGATTATTGAAAAAACTGGACAATAGAAAAGAAAAAACCTTGTCCAGTTATGAATAACGCAAGGATCGCTTGTATAAAATGAGACAAAAGGAAGCTAACAAAAAATCATGCGCTGCGTGAAAGGACAACGTACTGTAACAATTAGTTACTCAAGAAAATAGAAGTATCGTTTGGGCTCGATCGGGCTGGCCCGAAAACTACATAGGTCTATCCGACCTCAGAAAGTTTCTAGGATGACCTCTCAGGCTCAAGGAAAAAAGCATGGCTCGAGGCGGGTCGGTGCCAGACCGGGTGGACCAACAGAAGCTCTGGTATCTATAATAAAAACTACAATGCTTTCTCGGCTTTACAATAGTATCAGCAAAATATTAAGTAATTCCTTACGATGGAGTAATGTATTTATTACTACTAAAAACTTCTTTGTGTTTTTCTTCTCTAAAGCTATTCGTATTTCTCAAAATTCGCCTTTCGAGAACATGCTGGATGGCTCGGGTTGGTTTTGAAATGAAGCCAGCGTATGTGGCTATGATGATTATTCATTCATCGTTCATCCACTTTGTACCAAATCTATTAAATTGCAGAAATAACGGAACCGTACCTCGAACACTCGGTGGCTGATAGTAATAAATCACGAACTAAAGCTTCGGGAAAAATCTTTCATCACGAAAATCGTGAAGGTCTGTATATTTCATGTAAATAAATTGTCACCATGAATTTGATTGTTTATATGTAAAAGTTAATCGAGGTTAGAAAGGCTACGAAAATTTTGAGATGCAAAACACTGAATCACAAGAAATTTCTTCACCGTAAGTCTCGGATGATTGTAGCAGCTTAGAACGGTAAGCTAATGAGATTTTCTATTTTTGGAAGGATTATCTATCCTATTTTATTCAACCCATGACCATTCATCTGCTGTATCTTAAAAGACTACTCAACTAGACGCCCAGCTTAGATTGGACACTTTCCTAATCTATGTCCCAATCAAATGCAAGCGAACCATTGGCACTATAAAGCTCATATCAAGATAGTTCGACAAGCGCTATGCTTAGTTTATAATGCGTATATTTTTTCCATGATAAATTATGTCAGTGAAAGCTAATCTGGAACTACTCAAATGAATCTGCGACGAATCTCTTCTTTACCATATCAATCTGCCCCGGCAATCACAGAACCTACGAGACCATCTTCAGTCAAAAACACTCTAGATAATCTCAGTTAGATTCTAACTTATAAAACACTTTGTATGCATCGATTAGGTTTATTTGATAAAATCCAGTGGCCACTGGATTTTATAGAGCAGCGGATGTTTTGCCCCACTAGTGGGACAATACATCCGCTACTCTAAAGTCTTTTATCTGTGTAGATAACCGCTCATATATACCCATTAAGAAGTCAAACGCAACAAAGAATGCGTGGCCCGAGGAAAGGCCTCGTTGAATATGAAAATTCGTTTATTACATCAGTTTTAAAACGATAGAACAAACTTCCTATTAAAATTCGATTTTGGCAACTAAATGCAGATTTATTTAGTCACATATTAGTACTGGATCCATCGTATGAATGTTGACAGGTAGAATCAGCAAAACACTTTTCTTATCCTGTAGTTTATATCGAAAGGCTCGACATATTCTCATACGTAATTTGGGCACGTAACCCGAGAAGACCGATCGGCTCTGCGATTTTCAGAATTTCAGGTTTAGTAACTTTCTTTGTTAATTACAATTTCAAGTTACTGCAAACGCTTTTTTAAATAAATAAACAATTTTGGAAGAGAAGACAGAACAACTTTCAAAATTTGAATAGATTATTTTTGCTTCGTAGTATAAAACCGCTCTATTTCCAACATTTCGAGCTAAAAGTTATATCTTCTTCAGGAATAAGAAATTATAATACTCATTAAAAATCTTTTACATTTAAAACACGTTCGTGAACAAACATTCGATATTTTTCCGATGAAATATAGACAGTTACGTTTCAGAACTGTGTTGTATTCATACAAATATACGCAAAATATATAGAAAAATCTGTATTTTAAAGGTAAAATTTTTTTTAAGAGTATTTTAATTTCTTATTCCTACAGAAGATCTAACTGTTAGATTGAAATGTTGAAAATATAAAAGATTTTCATACTATGAAGCAAAAGTAAACAATTCAAAAAGAGAAAATCGTCCTAACCTTAAAAATGAATCAATGGTGTCTAAAGAAATGAGCAGAGTTCAATTTGATATGCTTGATACCATCCATCATAGAAAAACTTATCAGCATATACCTTGGGTCTAAAACATAACTCATCCATTTGAACATGATGGACTAAGGTGGGGCTAGATGAAATCTATATCCCAAGTATGTACGTTTACACTAATTAATTTTCTACGTAACATACACTGTAAAAAATAAAGTGTGTTACTAGGTACACGCCTACTAAACGGTCACTCAGTATCGAAAAGTGTACACTTTTTCTAGACGGTTAATCTCAGTGTTTAAGAAGCTAGATGTGTTAAAAAAATTTCTTATTTGCTATTTTTCTCGCGAACTATTACAACAAACGAAAAACTAATTTCATAATCACCGTTCTCGAAAGTATATATGCTGTGACTCCTAACCGAAACAGATAAGAAAAAAAGAAAAAAAAGACTTCGCCATATGATAGATTTGAACGACGGATAGATGGATCTGAGAAATTCTTCAAAATTCCCTTTATGTGGGTCGTTTATACACTTTATTTTTTACAACGTGTATGGATGGGTACTTGCTCATCATATCAATTGCAACGTCAAAAATTGTTGACATTACAGAACTCTCGAAAGGTCGACAAAATAAAATAGAACAATTAAATAAAAATGGTACGAGAAAACAGCATTAATTACAAGTATTAGTCTTCTAATCAGTGTAACAGGCACGAACAAGATGACCGTTGCTTGCTCAAATTTTAGCGAATCACAGACTATATGGATAGTTTAATAAAACACTGTTTCTGGACGAATGAATTCCCTTTAGCAAGACCACATTAGCTTGTCTGCATATACGATGTATATTCAGTATTGTTTGCGGGTTTGCGTAAGTCCACAAGCGTTAGGGAGAAGGACGTACAGAGTGGGTAAAATTTGCTGATTTCCAGCAATTTCTCCCTTTAGGAACTTTCACTCCTTGTTCTCTCTCTTTCAAAAGAACTCATCAGGGGAGGAGTTGCGCAAAACATCGTGGTAGGAGGCATCTTCGC